CAGGCAGAGGCATGTCTGGGTTTATCTATGTCGTGAATTTATTTGGCCTTTTGTGCAACCACTGGTAGATTGTAAAAAGGGTGAAAAGTTGGTGTTGTCTGTTGCGACCACCTTGGGCGTGTTGGTACAGGTGGCGATGTTGTTATTGTCAGCACGGTGCGGATCGCTTTTCAAGTATGTGTATCATTGGCGAGTTGTGCATTTTCCGCAACAGTGAGTCTGAGTTGTGAGCAAATGTCATTGTAAGTACGAGTATTCACTCCTTCGCTGATTTTTGTGAAAAATATTTCTGTAGAGGGTGTGAGGGACGTCAGTCATGCATAATCTCCGTGTCAAATGCACTTACTGCCGGAACGGTAAATGAAAATGACAGCCAGACAATTCCTAGATCCCGTACCACGGCAGTGCCCTTGTCCCCGTCCAGTTGTTCTGTGCATGGAAATTCCTGCGCTGCTGAGGATGAGCAATTGTGGCCTTTATTTTTCCGTCTCGCCGCGATAATTCCTTCCGCGACAGCAGGTTTCAGGTTTGTTAGGAGGTCGGTGTGTTTGCTGCGGCTGTGCTCATCGCGTGGGTGTGTGTAGGCTTTATTGAGGCGATGGCCCGGAGTGTATACGCGGCGATCCACGGCAGGAAAGTCTTCGTCTGCGGCATGCCAGCCATCGGTGTCACCGCTCTGGTCATCCCTCGCGGTTTCCCCGCTGAGAGCCGTCGACTCCGGCCGCAGGTGGCATTGCGGGCCAACGTCCGGGCCGTGCTGGGCACCTACCGTCGCTTTTGTCGGCGTTTCTGCAGGGGGAATTTCGGTCATGGAGTCACGCCATGCCGATGTGGGGTCCAGCGGCGTCCGCGCGTCGTCCAGGGCGCGGGCGCAGTGCAGAATGAACGTATTTATAAAGGCAGCGGCAGAAATCGGGGAGGGAAGGGCGGCAAAAAAAGTTATGATGCGTTCTTGTCCCTCGAACTGCCGTTCCTTCTCCAGGCCTGGGCCGCGTCGATTTCCCTCCGGTCGCTGTTGTTGTTGTTGTTGTTGCAGCAGCGACCAGCCCCGCATAAGCCGCACCGCCTCGTTGATGTCAATAAAGATCAGCGGCGGCGGTGCAGTCACAGGCGACGAATCACCGCAGCGCGGCAACGCGTCCGCGTTGGGCAATCGTTGATGGAAATTCATTACGCCGTGGCTCCGCGGATACACGCGCCACGTAGCTGCTTCCTGCAGCACAAACACAATTTCGCCGCGGAGCGGACCTGAGCCCTGCAAGGCAGCCAGCACCTCGTCGTGGCTGCCGCACCCCGTCGCGGACGAAATTCCCCTCAGCGTCGCAACGGAGAACGGGCACCGTTGCATGACGGCTCCACTTGGCATCAAGAACCACCACGGCGCCTCATGGAGGAAAAATCCACAGCAATCGTAGGCCTCAGGCAGCTGAACCACCTCCCCAGCGCGCCGAACCTGCAGCCGACGCTCGGGAAGCTCATCCGCTGCAAACCAACATGTGTTTCTGAACGAAAAGCAAGTGTGCTCGCTCAGCCTGGCGTCCGCAAGCCCTGCCGTCTGCACATGAGTCCCGCTCACACGCACGGGATCCCCAGTAGACGCCCAGTAATCGGCAGCACTACGCAACCGTCGCACTGGAAAAATAATTTTGTTGCCGTTAGCAAGATGATGAGGAACGGCCTCCACGTTTATCAGCGTCAGATGATCTTCCAACAGAAAGTGATGCATGTCTTGGAGACGCAGCACAAAACGACTGCAAAAAGAGTCCAGGTAGGGCGTCACCCACGCACTCCAGTAGCACAGCGTCCTCGAAGGCCGAGGAACCGTCTTCGACTCCTCCACCGCCAGGGCAGCATCCTCCAGGAACCACCCCTGCTTCTGCCAACACAGCTGCAGCGGAGGTGACGGTGGAGATGAAGCGGCTCCTGCAAGCGGTGAGGAGACAACGGCCAGTGGCGTGAACTCTGCCGAGGAAACAGAATCACAGCTGCACGCAAGTTTGTACAGGCGCCTCAATTCACCCTCGGTCCGTCGCAGCTCCTCTTGTAACCGACGCGTCCTCGGCAGAGATGTGAGATTCATACGAGACTGGCACCGAAGAAGTCGAGTGCTAACAGATGGCACCTGGAAGGCCGCACCAGCACTGGCAACAGAGCTCGAGATGCCACTACCAACCTCATCCACGTCCCCAGAGAGAGATGGAACAAGAGGTGTTGTACCAAGAACACCATTCGACGCATGCAGCAAAGCCGAGTGGCACAGCACAAACACCGGGGATCTATATCCGTGTCTCTCTGTGAACTCTGTCAGCACGGGGCCAGCCCCACCAACGCAAGAGTAACACGGACGGCACAAAATTGGAGTAATCACCGCGTTGGTCTTTAATCCTCGTCCACAAACGTCACCATCGCCGTGCGCGCCAGGCACACTACTCGCAACAGCCGTCTCCACTGCCGATCGCACAACCAAAAAGTCGTCGGCAAGCAAAATCCGTGGGAAACAAGGGCAGGCACGACACAACGCCTCACCGAGACTACGGGACGACAAGGACGGCATAAACCGCGAAGCCGCACCAGCTACCTACGCTGTCTTGAGGAAGAGGAAGCAGGAAGGGTGAGAAAGTGGGGTAGACACGTATGAAATGTACAAACAAAGAAGCCACCACACACAGAGACACAAGAAGCAAGAGATGGCTCTCTGCATAAAACAAAAAAGAGCACGCAGACGCCAATACTCCACGCTCCACAGACAAACCGGCCCACCGCCGAAAAACACTTCAAAGAATAAAAACAAAAAAAAATAATATCGAATTGTACGCTGCCGTTTCCACAGCCCACAAAAGGCGCCAAGGCACCTTTCTGTGCGCCTCCGCAGGGGCGGGGCTTCCACTGCACACCCCATTCGTCCTCCCCCTTGCGGAACATATCAAGAAACAATACCACAGAGAATTCTCTCCTCTCCCCTCGCATTCGCAGCCTCCTTTCCTGCATGTCTAATGGCGGCTGCGGGGGATTTGCGAAATTTCCATCTTACGTTTACCTTTCTCGTCGCGCGTTTATTATTGTGGCCCCAACCAGTTAACTCTCCCGCGCAGAGGCACATCGTGTGCACAGCCACACCTGCCTCACCGCGCACATACATTGCGGCGACGCATGTACGTCTCCGTTAAATCAAAAAAAAAAAAATAATAAAA